GGATCCCTCCAAGGACTCTATAGAATCCCTGTGGATCCCTCCAGGGACTCTATAGAATCCCTGAGGATCCCTCCAGGGACTCTATAGAATCCCTGTGGATCCCTCCAGGGACTCTATAGAATCCCCGTGGATCCCTCCAGGGACTCTATAGACTCCCTCCAGGGACTCTATAGAATCCCTGTGGATCCCTCCGGGGACTCTATAGACTCCCTCCAAGGACTATAGAAACCCTGTGGATCCCTCCAGGGACTCTATAGAATCCCTGTGGATCCCCCCAGGGACTCTATAGAATCCCTGTGGATCCCTCCAGGGACTCATAGACTCCCTCTGATCCCTCCAGGGACTCTATAGACTCCATCCAGGGACTCTATAGAATCCCTGTGGATCCCTCCAGGGACTCTATAGATCCCTGTGCTCCCTCCATGGACTCTATAGACTCCCTCTGGATCCCTCCAGGGACTCTATAGAATCCCTGTGGATCCCCAGGGACTCTATAGAATCCCTGTGGATCCCTCCAGGGACTCTATAGAATCCCTGTGGGTCCCTCCAGGGACTCTATAGAATCCCTGTGGATCCCTCCAGGGACTCTATAGAATCCCTGTGGATCCCTCCAGGGACTCTATAGAATCCCTGTGGATCCCTCCAGGGACTCTATAGAATCCCTGTGGATCCCTCCAGGGACTCTATAGACTCCCTCCAGGGACTTCCTATATAATCCCTGTGGATCCCTCTAGGGACTCTATAAACTCCCTGTGGATCCCTCCAGGGACTCTATAAAATCCCTGTGGATCCCTCCAGGGACTCTATAAAATCCCTGTGGATCCCTCCAGGGACTCTATAGACTCCCTGTGGATCCCTCCAGGGACTCTATAGAATCCCTGTGGATCCCTCCAGGGACTCTATAGAATCCCTGTGGATCCCTCCAGGGACTCTATAGAATCCCTGTGGATCCCTCCAGGGACTCTATAGACTCCCTGTGGATCCCTACAGGGACCCTCTAGACTCCCTGTGGATCCCTACAGGGACCCTCTAGAATCCCTGTGGATCCCTACAGGGACCCTATAGAATCCCTTTGGATCCCTACAGGGACCCTATAGAATCCCTCTGGATCCCTACAAGGACCCTACAGGGATCTGAGAGGATCCCTGTGGATCCCTACAAGCATCCTAGAGGATCCCTGTGGATCCCTACAAGCATCCTAGAGGATCCCTGTGGATCCCTACAAGCATCCTAGAGGATCCCTGTGGATCCCTACAAGCATCCTAGAGGATCCCTGTGGATCCCTACAAGCATCCTAGAGGATCCCTGTGGATCCCTACAAGCATCCTAGAGGATCCCTGTGGATCCCTACAAGCATCCTAGAGGATCCCTGTGGATCCCTACAAGCATCCTAGAGGATCCCTGTGGATCCCTACAAGCATCCTAGAGGATCCCTGTGGATCCCTACAAGCATCCTAGAGGATCCCTGTGGATCCCTACAAGCATCCTAGAGGATCCCTGTGGATCCCTACAAGCATCCTAAGGATCTGTATGGATCCCTACAAGAATCCCAGAGGATCTGTGTATGGATGCCTTCAAGAATCCTGGAGGATCCCAATGGATCCCTACAAGGATCCTGGAGGATCCCAGTGGATCCCTATTGGGATCCTGGAGGATCCCTGTGGACCCTACAGGGATCCCGGAATCCCAATGGGGATCCCCTATGGATCCCTACAGGGATCCTAGAGGATCCCTGTGGATCCCTACAGGGATCCTGGAGGATCCCTGTGGACCCCTACAGGGATCCTACGGAGGATCCCAATGGATCCCTACAAGCATCCTTTGTGAACGATCCTACGGAGGGATCCTACGGAGGATCCCAATGGATCCCGAAGCCTTCGGGTGCGCCCCATGTGGGGCCACGAACCGTGTGAGGGGCGCTCCGGAATGGGCCCGAAACCTTCGGCTGCGCCCACATGTGGGGCCACGAACCGTGTGAAGGGTGCGCCGAAATGGACCCGAAGCCTTCGGGTGCGCCCGATGTGGGGCCGCGAAAGCCTTCGGCTGCGCCCCCTGTGGGGCCACGAACCGTGTGAGGGGTGCGCCGAAATGGGCCCGAAGCCTTCGGGTGCGGTCCCTGTGGGGCCACGAACCGTGTGAGGGGTGCGCCGAAAGGGTCCCGAAGCCTTCGGCTGCGCCCCGTGTGGGGCCACGAACCGTGTGAGGGGTGCGCCGAAATGGGCCCGAAACCTTCGGCTGCGCCCCCTGTGGGGCCACGAACCATGTGAGGGGTGCGCCGAAATGGGCCCGAAGCCTTCGGGTGCGCCACATGTGGGGCCGCGAAAGCCTTCGGCCCCGCACCTTGTAGGGCCACGAACCGTGTGAGGGGTGCGCCGAAATGGTCCCGAAGCTTTCGGCTGCGCCCCCTGTAGGGCCACGAGCCGCGTGAGGGGTGCGCCGAAATAGTCCGATGGAACCCTGTAGGGGTTCTATGGGACTCCGATGGAACCCTGTGGGGGTCGAATGGGAGTCCGATGGAACTCTGTAGGGGTTTTATGGGCGTCCTATGGAACCTTGTAAGAGTCGTGTGGGAATCCTATGGGACCCTGCACGGATCCCACAGGATCCTCCTGTACAGGTGCGTTGTGTTGTGTTGTGTTGTTCCCCCCCCCCCCCCTCCCCCCCTCCCCCCCCGGGGGGGCTTGCCCCGCCTGTATCAACAACTACAACAACAACAAAACAACAACGACTGCCCCCGCCTGGTACGTCCTCACGTTGTACTCCGAAAATCGCGAGCTCCCGCGCGATTTCCTCACAAATTATGCAAGAATCTCGCTCTCGCGTTGGACTTCCTCGCCGTTCATTCAAACGCCGCGCCCTCGACGCCCAGGAGTCACGCTCTCGCTTTGGCTTTTCCGACGATTTCCTGGGGAATCGCGATATCGTTCGATATCGTTCGAAATCTCCTCGCGATGCTTGCCGGACGCACGCTTCAGCAACCCGTCTGCTCGACCTGGCCGCATGGGCCCGCCTTTAAGACCTGCCCGCTAGGGACTGCCCACCCGATCTGCCAGTCAGAACCATGTGTTTCTTGTTCCCAGCCCCCCTCCTGCGAACTTCTCCCGTGCTCCATCCTTCTCCCTCCCCCATCTATCCGCTTTTTGTTTTCCCCCTGTTTGAGGGGCTGCGTCAAATGCGCGTGGCCAGTAGATTCTCAACGGGGTACGATCGCAGGGGGGCGAGTTCCGAGGGTCTGGACTCTATGTTGAATGGCACGCGAGCAGATGGGAACGAACAATCCTAAACTGATCGCTCTTGCTGAAACTGTTTCGCCGCCGTCCCACTCGCGACCCAGCCCGCGAACAACCTTCGACCCGCCCGCGACGCAACCGTGACCTCGCCCGCGACCCATCCGCGACCCATCACCAACCCACCCGCGACACACCCGCGATCCCCCGGCAACCCACCCGCGACCCGCCCGCGGCCCACCCGCGAACCACCCGCGACCCACCCGCGACCCATATCCGCGACCCCAGGGGGGAGGTAAGAGGGAGCAGGCCCTCTCGGAAGGCGACGGGGATTCTCAGAAGTCTGAGGCATTCCGAAAAACCGCCTCTGCTTTTTCGGAAAATCCCCTGGCCTCGCCGCCAAACGGTGACACATAACAGAAGACAGAACGGGCTAAGATACCCGGGGAGGTATCATGGCCCCGACCGTGATATCCCCCCCACTAGTCATCACCCCCCTTCTTGGCCGCCCCCGACCAGAGCAGCAGCAGCGGCCGCCGCCTCCCCCTCCCCCGTACCCCTGGAACGCCCTCGGCGAGGAAATACAGTCGGACCTCGGCCAGAAGAACATCCTTCAAAAATGTTAGGCCCTCCGTCGTCCAAAACAAAGAAAGCATCCTGGGGTACCGTCCCAAGGCCCCAGGATGCACAAACACATCCAACAAACACAAAGAACACAAATGCACCCCCCCGAACCGACCTCGATCTGCTTCCTGGCCCGACTGTATACAGCAAAGGCCCTTCCACAAGAAACCCAGACGTGAAACCCCAGGGCGTCCATTAATATTTGGTGAGGGAGCGTCATGCTGTCCTTTTAAGACTATAGGGCTATGGGGCGATGGGACTATGCGGCTACAGGGCTATGAGCCCATAGGGCTACAGGGCTATTGGGCTATATGGTTGTAAGGCTATAGGGCTATAGGGCTATACGGTTATAAGGCTATAGGGTTATAGGGTCATAGGGCTCTTAGGGCTATAAGGCTGCAGGGCTATGGCGATAGGGCTATAAATATAAAGGGCTATAAGGCTGTAAAACTATAAATCGCCTGGGCACCTGGGCACCCGGGCACCTGGGCACCCGGGCACACGGACGTGCTGCCGAAATCAGCTCCATACCTCACGTAACCATATGAATCCGCTAGGACCCCTATAAGGGCAAACTCTGATTAGGAAACAGCCATCGAAACCCAAGAAATCCAGGGCACCCTGGAGGCCAGCGGGGTGTTTCTTAACATTGGCCCCAACTGAATACGGGGTCGGATGATCGCGCCGCATCGCCAATACATCGCCGATGCATCGGCGATGCATCGCCGACGTCGGCGTTGCATCGGCCACGCAAGCGCGGGGCAACACGGTCTCCACATCGATCCGTTTCGCCGATGCATCGGCGATGCGGCGTGATCCTCCGACCCCATCTGCTCGGACCCCATCTAGGAGGCCAGACCCCCTCCTGCGTGAACCCCCGCGTGCCACTGACGCGATGCTCGGCTCCTCTCAAACCCGGCCCGGAAATCGCAACGCGCTGCAACGCAACAGCGTCAACGTGGACGACGCGCGCTGCATGAGCCCACGCGCCACAATATCAATCATACTTCGGAAAACTATTTTTTGATAAAAAACAATACAAAAAGCGCGTCGAATAATCACCTTCATATCACTCTGGGGATGCGCGGGCGTGATGCTCCTCCGACTGGCCCGGGCCGCCGCCGGCCCCCCCCCACACACGATCGCGTCCTCTCGGAGGTCGCGCTCCTGGCGGCCGTGCTCCTGGCAGACCGGCGCCGCGCCCCCGCGCCCCCGGTGCGGGGGCTGCGGGCGCGGCCCCGCGCGGCGGCGCGGGCGCCGCGGGAGCGAGGAGCCACGGGCCACCGGGGGGAGGGAGATCGGAGGGAGGGAGGAGGGGGGAGACGTGAGAGTCGGGTGCGGGCGAAAGGGGGGGATAGCAAAGGGGGGTTTGAGATTCAGCTCACGCAGCTGATTTTCCTGGCGCCTCCAGGCGCCGGGAGGCGCCCATGTATCGAAGAATGGGCCCGGCGGCGGGGCCGAAACCAGCTGCATGCAGCAGATTTCGTAACCCCCCCTTTCCCAATCCCCCCCTTTCGCCCGACCCGACATAAGAGTCTGGTGCGGGGGACCCAGGTCGGCCGGACGGGGCCATCATGACGATGACGATGACCCACGCTGAGATTGGAAGCGAACTTCCGCTGCAAGAAACACCCCACGAAAACCGGACCGTGAAAATCCAGGTCGCGATCGTCCAAAAACGTCGGCAAACCGGAGTTCCAACTTTCTCGAGTCTTACGCTTCCCCGAGAGCGGGGGGAGGGGGAGGGGGAGGACGCCGACGGCAGAGACGAGAGAGGACGGGGAGAGAGGGATGATGAGGGGAAGATGATGGGGTTGGGCTGGCGCGGAGAAGGTGGGTGGGGGGATGACGAGGCAGGAGGACGAAGAAACAAACGCTACCAAGCAGCAAGGGTGGGTGCCTCGCCCACGCGCGTCGCAATGCCCTGGGTCGTGCCGGGTGCTGTGTGTTTCTGCGATCATGCAAGCGGCTGGGCGCGTGCGTGCCCATCAGGAGGCTCGCGAACGCGCATGGGGCGCATCCTCATCGTCCCCCCTTCCATTTCCTTTGTATGTTAGTGTTGTTGTTTCTGTCTTCGCGCCGTTGCTCGCACCTTCTCTTCCTGTCCTCGGTCCTCCTCCGCGCCTTTTTCCCTGTGACTCCTTCTCTTCTCCCCTCCCACTTCGGGTGAAAGGGGCTATCTCTTTATAGCCTCGGCCGCGAATCTTCCGACGGGTGCCTTGCACGGTGCGCACAATAGAGCGCACAGCCCCGCGCGTGGAGAGGCGCTGCGAGCAAAGGGGTGCACAGAGAGGGGGAGGATGGAAGGAAGAGGGGTAAAGGGGAAACGGGGGCAAGGACGGGAGGAACGAGGGAGGGAAGGACGGGATCATGGGGACTGAGTGGGTGGCGTGCGACATGGCTTGCGAACGCAACAGAGATGGGAGGGCGGACGGGGGAGGATCCGGAACCGCCGGACTCAGCGGAGGGTGGGTTCTTTTTTCGCGCGCCGCGCCAGCCGCGGAGCGCCCAGAGGCCCCCGCGCCAGGCGACAGGGGGCCTCCTTGCCCCAGGGGGAACTCCGTTTTCTAAAGGGGCCCCAGGACACACAAATAAATACACACAAATATTATTATTCGCCATAGTTTCCCATATGTTCTGCGTTTTTGTCTTCCCCCCCACTTCCCATAGTTTCCTATATTTCCCTGGGAATCGATGATTAATTGTGTCTGTGTGTTTTTTCCCCCTCCAGATTTTCGACAAAGTGACTTGGCAAATTGCACCCAACATGGTGCATGAAAGGCACACGGTGGTCCAGAATGCCGGCGAGCAGGAAGACTGCTTAAAAGCTCTTGGGCGCGGGGAGGCGCATCCGAGGCTCCCCCACGTTTCCTCCAACGGCGGGGTGGCGGCATCGTCGCGAAGCGCTGAACCTGGACACGCCCCGGCGAATTTCCACCTGGCATAGTAAATGGGTGGACGTGATTGGACAAAACACACAAACAAGCAACACACACAAACACACGCACGCACGCACGCACGCACACGCGCACACACCCGCAAACACGCAGAGACACGGACACGGGTACACATACACACACACACGCACACACACACACTCACACACACACACACGCACAGCACGCACGCACCGACACAACAGACAGCACAGACACAACACGCCACACACAACACATACAACACACACCACACATAACACAAACTATTCACCAAACCGCGCCACACCCCAGACACAACACAACAGCACACAGCCCACAGCATACACAACACACACACACATTACACAAGCACGCGCACAAACACAGCAACACACACAATTCAATGCAACACACCTCACACACAACACACAAGGCACAACACACGATCCAGGCACACCACACACAACATAAACACACCAACGCCATACACAAATCGTACAACACACAACGCAACACATCACGACACACAACACACACACACACACGCACCACATACCACAAACATAAAACCAAACACAAACTTTACATTTACGCCACACCATACACCGCAAACCACCCACCACGTACCACACTCCACGCACCACACTCCACGCGCCAGCACAAACACACCATACACACATCACTCACACGCGCACCGCACACAACACACAACACACAAATACACAACATACAGCATGCGCAGCTCACACAACACATACCCCACACAAACCAAACGTACAACAGTCACAACACATACAACACATACGCACTTTGTCCGTCGGCGGCAAGGCCGAGTTGGCTGCGCCAGCGCTGAAAAACGAAACGGGGAGGCCGACAGAAACGGCTTGGCCAGCGTGTACGAGCGGGAACACGGGACAAAGTCGGCGGACGGGTCTCACTCCAGCGCGAGCTGGCGCAGCCGCAGCCAAGCCTGCCAGCGGGGACAGCGGCAACGGCCGGGCCGCGGCGCCGGCGCATCCACGGGCGCGGGCGGGGCCCAGGACGGGTACTGCAAGTAGGCGAAGCAGCGACGCCGTCGAAGTAGCACACGATGTGCCAGGACAGCGGGCGAGGGCCGCAGGCCGCCAAGGTGGGTGGCGGCAAATACACAAATACATGCGCGTCCCAGGTGGGGCAGCATCCTGCAACAAAAGTAGGCCCGCGGAGGGGGGCAGGCGGCAAAACGAAACCCAAGTTCTCGAACGCATGGGTCTGCCCGCGGCGACAGCACCGCAAACGCCATGGCCCATGGCGGCGCGCATGGGAGGGAAGGAAAGCGAACGGAACGGGGAAAGGGGGGGAGACGTGGCGAGGGGAGGGAGCGCCCCGCCTGTCGGGAGGTCCCCGCAAGGGGGGGCGGCAGCCCAGGCGCCGGCGTCCACGTGGCCGACAGGCAGGCGGTCCGCGCACTGTGCTGTAGCGGACCTTTCCGCGCTGCCCCCGGTGGCGGGGCGCGGTAGCTGGAGCGCGCCCTGCGGCAGCCCAACAGGCGGCAAGAACGGGCGCGCCTGGATAACAGCACGGCCAAAGACGTGGGGCCGCGCGTTGCCAGGGTGGACATGTGTGGGCCTGGCCTACGGGCACCTACTCGGCGCGGAAACTGTTCAAAAGTGCCGGCCGAAGCCGTAGGGGGCCGCGCGCTGCCGGGGTGGGCGACGCCCGGCATGGGCGCCTAACTGCAAAATCAAATCAAAAGGAACATCGACAAGGGAGTGTGCCACGCGCCGCCGGGGCGGTTGGCGCGTGGCGTCAAGGGCCGCGGGGTGGCTCAGAAGACGACAGGGAGGCTGCACTGGTGCGGCTGGGCGCCTGGCGCTGTTCTGGGTGCGCTGCGGGCCCCCGGTCTATGGGCGCCGTGTGGGCGTTGTCTTCCGTGCTTGTGAACACAATAGTGACGGCGCATGGCGGAATAAGCAACGGAGGAAGGTGGCGTCGTGCTGTTGAAGCCCAGGAACACGACCGGGGTGCTGACCCCCCCCTCGCGACAAAGGGGTGCGTCGCGCGTTCGTCGCCCGTGCACCGCCTGTGCGTCGGCAGCCGAAAAAGCCAGCCGTCCTCGCAAAGGTGCGCGTCGCCCTCGCAAGGGAGCACTTTGGCGAGTGCGTCGCCAGCGTGGCGGGCATCCACGGGGCGGATCGCACGAGCGTCGCCCGCTCCACGGCCGCCGAAAAGGCCGGTCGCCTGCGGAAAAAAAGAAAGCCGCCCACGCAGCTACCCCCTTGGCGAGAAGGCGCCTGCTGGGTTACCCCGGCAAATCAGCAAATCCCTCTAACATTAACATTCCGCGACGCTGCTGAACGCACTCGGGCACTCGGGCGCTAGGCAGTTTCCCGCAGCCGCTACCACGGCCGCCGCGACCACTGCCAGCACCATGATTACCACCGCCACGATAATCACAAACGGCCACGACCGCGACCGCGTCCACAGCGAAGATATTGACCGTCACCTTTACCGCCACCAGCACCTTGACCACCGCGCTTTTCGCGACAACCACAATGACCGACACCAGCGCGACCACCAACGTGACCACCGCCAGCCCGCCCACCACCAGCAACGCGACCACCGCCATCACGACCAAAGCGACATCCGCGACCGCGACGGTGATCACCAACACGACCGTCACAAAAACACCCGCTGACTGCGTCCTCCCCCCTCCCCCCCCTTCCCCTGCCAGGCCGCCCTCGCCGCCGCGCTCGCCTCGAGCCCCTGCCCCCCACCCCCCCCTTCCTCCCCTCCTCATAATCCTCCTTTTCCAACGCCAGCGGCGGGGACGTTCACGCATGGTGGGGGCGCCTTTCGCGGTCCCACGCCGCGGCCGCGGGGGGAGGGGGGGCGAAGGAGAATAACGAACATTAAGAGGGACAGGGGATGGCAATGGGGGAATCCGCCGGCCCCCTTGTGGGGCCACCAAGTTGTAGGCGCGGGCTCGCAGTTTCCAGTACCAGTTGTAGCTTGTAGTGACTTGTAGTTTCCAGTGTTACAGTTCTGCTTCTTGCTGGTTACTGTAACTAGTTGATTGACCGCGCGAGGGGGGGGAGGCCCAAACAGGATTTTTTAGCACCCCCTGGGCGCGTTGTCTGAATTGCTGGGGGGGCTCGACACCCCTCACGCAAATCCGCGGGGTCAGGGTCCAAAAACACACGTGATTTGCCACATTTCTGAAATTCGGTGCCACCCCTCACGCAGATCCGCGGGGTCAGGGTCCAAAAACACACGTGGATTTGC